CATACATCTCGGACTCTCTTTCATAAATCATTCCCGCAGAGCTGGAAAAAAAAGACATATTGTCAGAATCCATCTCCCAGCATTTGTCTCCTATTTAAATGCTAAATTATTGTACGACTTTTTTTTTGTGTTCCCTTTTTTTCCGTAAAATGGAGTGGATATTAGTGTTTTGGTACGTTTTATGCAGATGTCGATGGCTTTTATGACGTCGTGGGGTAAAAAAAACAGGGGCGAATTTAGGTAAAAAAAGAGCCTATATTTTATCGATTCGATGAGTGTTATATAGAGGGAATAGGGTTAGTGTATTTATTTAAAATTGTATTATTGTATTAGAAATAGAAAATAATAAATAAGATTCTTATCGATAGATGTCATCAAAAATCACGAGAGTAAGTAGTATAGTAAAAAAGGCGAAGTAACAAAACCTAAAATCGGTTTTCACGATCTGCTGGTTCCAATCACGGTTTCCTTTCTTATCAATCTTTGTAATGCCAGTCCAAAAGTTCCATTTACCGAATTCATTCAAATGCGAAGGATTATTCTTCTTGCTGATGCATGTACGCCCTTTTGCCGTATTTCGTTCGGGCGTTTCCTCGCAGGATCGATTTCCACCAAAAAAAAAAAAATAAAAAAAAATTTCCCGTCACATAATAAGGATTTTATCCGCTGTACTTATTTTGAGTAATTGCCACCGGTCGAATGCATATTTTTAAGCTCTAATTGGAAAAGTCTTTTGTGTTATAAAAACCCATTTGAATGTCTAGAAGACCTCGATGTATAACAATGAAAACCAAACGATGGTTTTAACAAAACAACCCATCGCCCATCGAAGTTGAAAAATGGCAAATATCCATCATGAGGAACGCGGTAAAAGACCCATATCGAGCAACGGGAACCATCTTTATTGATTACCAACTCGGTGAATCCAATTTCTTGTTAATGCCCTTCGTACTCGACAGGAGATTTGTTGCCAAGCAATGAACACACGTCGGGGGTCCATTCCATTATTCCGCGGCAATCGCATAAAAGAGACACTTTCGACCCCCGTTAGCCCCTCCGGCCTAACCTTATACTATATCAAAACAAAGAGATGAAAGTAAAAAAATCATCTTCTGTTTAATATTTTAGCGGAGGAGCGTTCGTTATTTATAATGAACGCGTGTACTTTTCGCTTTCGTATTTGTTACACAAAAAACGTATTTTTTTGCATTTTTAATGGCGAAATTCGATTTAATTTACTTGTATCAAAAAGCTTGCGTTATTGTCGTGATAAATTCCCATTTTTTTTTCTCTCTATTCTGTCGGGCGGAAAATGCGCAGGCATAAAAAACAAACCGATGTAGGATTGAAATTTTCACCGGAACTAAATCACAGTCATACCGCAAATATTTTCATCGTCACCGGACTTTTCCTTTGTATAAAAAAAATTACCTTTCGTCGACGCGAAATCGAAATAAAACCAAAAGAAATGTATTTGCAATTGATTCCACCACAGCTTTTTATACAGGGTTGTTTCATCCACATTATAGTTTTTTAATTCCTCGAATTTTCACAAATAGTTTAACAAACTCAAAGCCTCAAATTTCAATGGATAATTCGTAAAGATTTTAGTATTGATCTATATCTAGCTATATTTTTTCTATTCTATTTACCTACCTTTACAGAGCATTAAAAATGTTGTCTTTCTAAACAATTCCACCATGCACGTGCAATATCAATAAAACCACGCTAACAATTGGATTCCCAGGCTACTCCAATCAAGCCCGAGTAATTTCCACTTATACATCGATGTTTGATGTAACTGGGAAATATTGGAAATTCTACCGCTGTAAAAATACAAGCGACAAGATATTATACACTATTAGAAACCGCTCATAAAATTGTAATCTTTTTCGAATGAAAACAACAAGTCGAGTTTGGAATTTTATAAGATTCCGTTCGACGAAGAAGGTGAATGAAATTCGGGAAATTGTAAGTAATTTTCGTGGAAATTCCGACGCGCTGTCGACGAGATATCAAGTCTCTTAATTAAAAATGCTTCGGGAAGTACCATAAATCAAGATCGTGATGAAAATGGTTTAATTTTAATTAAGAGGCGACGAAAATGCAGGAAAGCTGACTCGAGACGTTTCCCGCATTTTCCGAACGCGAAAACTCAGCGAAACGTACACTCGAACAAGATGGATTTCTTCTAATAATCCGGATTTTACACGAAGAAAAAGTTCAAATAAACAAAGAATTGTTTCTTATTCAAATTATGTTTGTTTGAGTCTATTTAATAATGAATCTAATAATCATTCATCTTTTATAGTAACCGCGTATTTTGATTTAATTAATATTGGATAAGGTATTTGGGATAAAGCAAACATCAAACCATACAAGTTCCCTTTGGAGAAGAGAAGAAAAAAAAATCCTATATAAAAAATACATCTATTTCAGTCGCTTCATCATTCGCGTTCTCTTTTTTCCGCATAAAATTCGAATTTGCCCTCTCCTGATGTGCGCGAAAGCCGAATTGCCTTTGTCGGCCCTTTCAGCTAGAAAGATTTATAATGTTTTTTTTTGTTAAATGGAATTTTCACTCTTCCAGCACTCCGGTGGAGATTTGCATATTTCCAAACGCCCAGACAACCATCAGTTCTTCTCTATTTCGTTGTCTTGTATACAAGTGAAGATCGGACGAAAGAAATCAGTAGCGTCTCTGCATCACCTCCCGAAAGGAATTATTCATCACCTCTCAACATTGCTCTCTATATAGACTCGATTAAATTCCATTCCAATCAACGATAATTGCCGGTTTACAAGTATTAGATTTTTTTTAATTTTCTTCCCTCCATCCGTGGTTCTTATTCTTCCTTATTCATACATCAAAGAACATTCCCCCTTAGAGGCGCCCTCCTTCATTACTCACCTGCATCTTCGATTTCGCTCAGTGTCACATCGTTCGCTCCACATGTTTCCAAATAACGTCGAGCGATACAGCAATCGATAAATTCGCCATCAACGCGAAATTAGTAATTCAAATTGGAAATTTGCTTCGCGCGGGGGAGGAAGCGGCGTCGGCGTCGGGACGCCTTTACAACTATTACCAATAACTCATTTACCCTCGGCTAAATCATCTAATCTAACGCGAACAAAGCCGCGAATTTCGCCATTGTATGGTTCACCAGGCGCTCTGCATACTATAGAAAAATAGCTTTAATTTCATCGCTAAATTAGCGTCGATTCTATTGAGCTATATAGAAAGAATTCCGGCGATCTGTAAAGCATCGCCTGGAAAAATGGCCATCGCTTAACGATCGTAGATTAGAGCTGGGCGAAATTGGAGCCCCTAGGGGATCCGGGGGCGGGGAGCACCTGAGACCCGAATCGCGGGGGACCCGAGGGGGTGGGGCACTTTAATCACAGGTCCCCCTAACCTGTAATCATGCATACGCTGAGCCTCGTCATTTTCTACTGCGAACCTTATAATAATATCGCTTTAATAGTTATAATCAAGCGAGGTTCCTGTACATGACATTTCACCCTGCACGATGAGATGCGAATGGTTTCTTTTCGGCGCATTGATCGATATGTTAACTAAATAATAAAACGCTAATTGGATACTTGCAATATCGATGTCCGAATGTTGTTGTAAAACAGGCGACAAGAACGATCCATATAGGGTGTTTCATCGAATACTTTTAGAGCATTTTAATTCGTAAATATGGGACAAGCTGTATAGAAGACTCCCGAGTATCTCGAGGTAATTTTAGATCGTGGAACGAAGCGAACCAAAAAAAACTAAGTCGCTTAGAATAGCCCAATAACTTTGTTTACCCGACATTTGATAACAAAAAAAAAACGAAGAACGAGAAATCCTGAGAGAGGAGAAACCGTTCTTTCCGCGAGATTACCCGACAAAAGCGCCTTCGGAAAGCCTTTGTTAATATTCTACATTATAAAAGTTAATCTCTTTTTGATAAGTTAAAGCTCGGAGGAGCTCCAAGACGAGTGCCGAGCGACTATCCGCTGGAACCTGTACCAATGGGATTATATCTAGAGGATCTGGTGATTCTGTAGCATGTATTACATTATTATAAATACGGCGGAGATACATAAATTCTCGATTTAATCGTATGTATAACTGTGAATTATTCAGTAACTCGAATGCAGGAAATTAAAGATGCAAACGCATACTATAAATTACAGTTTTTATACTTGGTATCTTCGTAATTATTCACCAGAAAGGTATGCAGGAAAAGTTGCTGTAAACTTTCAGTTCGAATTTTCTAAACAAATTGAAACTATTTATCGTAGAACAGCGCGATTAAGGAGAAGCTGGGAACCGAAGAGTGTTTGCTAGTCGACGCCATAAAGTTATAATCGTTGGTAGTAAGGAACAGACGGTCGAGATTATCTGAAAAGCCCACAACTGCCTTCCACTATCGTTGGTAGGACTGCCGGGGCTTTATCATCAAAATGTGCCTTCCTGGCTTAAATGTGTTTGAGATAAACTCAGGAATTTTCCCTATTTCGATTAACGCCTTAAGGTGGATGATCTACAGAGTGTCTTAAATATTACTCGCTACTATAGTATTTATTTGTTTGCTCTATTGCAATGGCGATGAATTAAAGTAAAACTCGATGGTATAAGCTGAATAAATTTTGCACGAAAACAACAAAGGATGTTCTGGGTAAATTTGAATTCGCTTGCATCTATCACTCCCCGTCTAGTTTGCAAAACGGGTTCTGATCCGAGCTTATGCTCTTGCTGTTATAGGGTGGGTGATGTTGGAATGGGTTTTTTTTTCGTCTTAAAGGAATGCCAGTGGAGTAGAACAATGGCATTCTATTAATGTTAGATGAGAAAAATATTTATGTAGTATTTTGTTTTTAAATTAATCATGCGATGGGAAGTATTTGAGGTTTTGAAACCGCTGATATAAGCGGAATGAAAATAGAAGTGTTTAGAAAATTATTGTGATTTTGTGTTAGTAATGTTTTTTTTTTATTTGCAGGTTTTGCTAGTCGAAATCGATAGTTCTGCTGGTTACAGAATTTGTATCAAAAAGGTATGTATGTTGAATTCAAGAATCTTTTAATAATTGTTTAATAAATTTTTGTGGTTATAGGAGAGATTATTTTTAATAAAATTCTTTGTTTTACAAGATATCGTTTATTAAATTTGTATAACAAAATCTATGCAGTTGAATTTTTGCACATATAACATATAAAAAATATTTCTGCTACTAATTTAATTCGAACTAATCATTGTAAAATTATGCTAGTCTGACAAAATATTTTTATTAATAATTGATGAATTATAGAAATTTAGATGCTGGTGATTACTTTGACTACAGGAAAATTGCATTCAAGATTTTGTAAATTAATGAAAAAAGTTAATGAAATGTTTAAAAAAATAAACCGAGTTGAGTCTTATTTCTTTAGCTCTAAATTATAAGTGTAGATTTGAAAAATTTCCAAAAACAATTATCACTACTTAATTTATGTTAAATTTTATGACCAATAGAGCAAAATAGTGCATATTTAAGTCAGGTAAATCAACAACTTAGCGTTCAAAAACTAAATAACAAACGTTTTATTTTTCAAAAACAAAATTAAAACACACACACACACACACACACACACACACATGAGCGATAAACACGTTCGTATATAAAAGTTTTCCTTCATCCCGTCACAAGAATAAAAAAATACCCGCCAGACACAATTGATCCGTTAAAAGCTTTTCCGTTCCCTCGCATTAACAAACACCTCACTAATTCAACGAAAATAAATAAATCCGCGTTCAAAAAGACCCGCGGAATCGACCAAAACGGGACGAAAAAAATCTGCCACAACGCGTTAAAAAAAAAAAAAAAAATAAAATCGCGAAACGGAGAAAAAACCGCCGTCGTTCGATGCAACCGATGCCCGATGATTGTTTCTTACGATCATATCGCAGAATATACAGCCACTTCCACAGCTGACTGACTGCATATTTGCTGTCGGATCGGCTGGGGATCCAGCTCGACCGGCTGATATCGAGAGCGGCCATGCCTCTGCTCGATTGTTCGAATCGCGCTGTTGCCGATATTCCGAAAAAAAATATACCATCACTGAACAATAAAGAACTGCCCAACTAAAGCGGAGGTTTCCTTTGAAAATTACCAGAAATGTTCGTTCTTTTTGATAGTTTTGTTCTTCTTTCAAACATCCGTAGCTTTGCAACCAATGCAAAATATAATCGACTCGAAAAAAGTAAAAAAAGGAAACCGCTATAGTGGTGAAATGGAATTCTGAATTAACTCACACAATGGTACTACTTTAAAACCACGACCACAAGAATGGAAGCGAGAATTTATATTTAAATTTATTTGTGCAGTTTCTACTTGGGATGTGTAGCATCAGGGATGGTTCCTTCTACTTTACTCTTTTATTTTCTTAACCATTTTTTGGTGCTTCATTCCTTCTACTTTACCCTTTTATATTCCCATGTTTTGTTGCTTCATATCATACTACAGGTTTATCTTCCACCAAATACACTCAATTGATCAACCGAACGCTTTCCCACAGATCATCCCAGCATAGATTCATCCGAAAAACCAATGACTTTTGTACCTCAATTCAACCAATCGAAAATAGGTCGACCGACCCACGATATTTCTCTGCCGGTTCGTTCGACAACATCGCAATCACCGGAACATCTGTATACATTCTACAATCCCATCGCCCGGCTGGGGCGGAGAGCCAGATCGGCACGGCTGTCGTTCTGGGCCCCCCTCGTGGTGTTTTCTTTGTCCTTCGCGATGGGAGAGAGGGGCTCCGCCATCGACCCGCTCTCGCTCCGTTTCGAATGCCCAGCGGCGGAGGATCCGAATCTTCCCGATCTATCTCTTCATGACAACAGCAAGAGGAACTCGTTGGTGGCAGATTTTTCTGGTTTTTTGCAACCAACAGAAATTGTACCATCCGCAAATTCGGGTATTTCGCTAATACAAGTAAACAATGCATAATGGGGGTATTCCTGTTTTGAAAGGAAGTCTCGTTGGTGGCGCCGCTGGTGAGATGTGGGCTCAAATGCCAACTGCCAAGTGTTTGTTTAGGGAGAATGAGAGATGGGCCGAATATGGGTGGAGGCGGGGGGGGAGAGCGGGGATGGGGGGGTTTCGGAAGGGACCGGGGAAGAGGTGGAAGTGCCGGTTCAAGTTTCAAGTTGAAGGACAGGCCCAGAGCTCCGAGCGGTCCGAATTTTTAGACTCGACTCGCGAGACTTTGGGTTATTCTTTTTTTTAACAAGGCGTCAAGGCGAACGGAGGATACCGAAAATTTACTATTTTTTTTTTTTTTAATAATTTATACCGGTTGTTTCTTTACAAACTTCATCTTTCTCGTGCTTTTGGACATTGTTTCGTATTACTAAATTAATTTATCGATAATTGTACATACCAATTAAATGAATTCATTATAAATTAATAACTAAACTACCTACAAGCAAATTCCAAAATCCAGCAAATTATTTATGAAACTGCTCATCAAGGCATTCTCTTTATACATACAAAATTAATACTTAGAGTATTTAATATTTGGTACGAAACCCAAAATAACCCAGCGCTCTATATGCACCATGAAAACTCATTATTTAGGGATTGCCTGTGCAATTAGCCATCGCCCCCCAGTTAGAGCCAAGCGTTGTATGTTGTAGTTTTCCGAGCCATTGCACAATTCAATTTCCCAAAAAGTATAGAGCAAATTCAATATGAGCAGAAACGCGAAATTTTTAGCGGTGATTAATGACGTGAGCGATTCATACCACAGCTCAAGAGCAAATGTAGCACGAAGATTTAGCCGAACGAGGCTCATTATTTTAGCTCCGAATCATTGGCGTAGAGAATCCCTTTTTTTCAACTAAAAACATCATTATTTTACTCATCTATCATGCACTTAATCTGCAAAGAACTTTTGCGATATAGTCCTACAAGTGTATCGTAATTCGAATTGGCGGTTATACGAAAAGCGAGGAAAATTCGATGGCATCCAAGTCAGTTCGTTACAATTCATTTCCTTTTCCTCCCGTTTCTGCTCCGTCAGTGATAAAGTGCAAGTCGGCGCTTCTCAAAAGCCCGGTTACAATCATTAGGACAACGACTGGTAGACGATGATAATGTTCTCGGGTTTTTTTCTGTTCTGTTGAGGGATAGAAATAAGAAGAAACGCGCCTCGAATTGATCGGTAATCACGTGTTGTTTGCGTTAAACTTATTTCCGGACGGACGCTTTTCCAGGAATTCTAGGATTTTCGGAGGGTCCAAGAGATATTGGTTTGAATATGAATTGGCCGGATCATCGGGAAAACTTTGTGAGGGTTTAATTAAGAATCTAATTCCATCAGCAAGTTATATACAGAGTGTTTCATTAGACCACTCTGTATGTTTAATTACAAATATAAACTTTAACCTTTGGAATATCTTACAACTTACAACCATTAGATAATTAGTTTTCTAATAAGGCAATTCGTACAAATCACATTAAATTAAAATAAATACACGTGAACCCGTAAGTATAAGATCAACATCATCGCTTGCTTCATAAATAAATCATTCTCTGTCGATAATTCTAACGTAAATAAACCCGACATTTTGATAAAAACATCCACCTACTAATATCTATCTATCAATTTCGTTATCTTCGCTCGTTTTTATTGGAGATTATCCGAAAATACTTTCGATACGTCTAGCAACGACGAAATTATTTTTCCAAATCATTACATTTCTCGTTCATTGGAAATTCTTTAATTGGAAATTCGATACCCTTTTGGAGTCGTTCGTTTTTCCCTCGTCACTAACAAGGCTTTATTAATTCACAATGCGAACTGGCGATGTATTAAAAGAAAATAAATTGATGTAACAGGATCACTAGAATAATTTATAATGAAAATATTGTTTAAATAATTTATATAGGGTATAAAAGCGCGTTGTTTTAAGTACACGTTAATGAAGTTTTGTTTTATACTTTTCGAACCCCTTGTTCTTTCGTTGGGAGTTGATAAAACTCGCCGTTTCGGGGGAATTAAAAAAAATTACTAATTCCCATTCCCGAGAAGTTTCCATTATTATTTATCTTAATCTTTTTCTTCATTTACTCCGCGCAGTAAATTACGAAAAAAAAAGGGAAAGTCTCTCCCGAAAGTTTCCAACTGCGACCGTTCGTTAAAAATAAACGAAACACCGGGATTTCACCACCGGGTAAAACGAAAAACCCCATTAGTATATCATTGTAGGTCTCCGAAAACGGCGAATGTGCCTTTAGGCGCTATTCGAATTCGAACTCTAATCAAGTCCTTTTCCCTTTTAATTAAGCACCGCTAATTAGTCTGTAATAGAGGAAAGAAAAAAGTATTACATTTCGTGAGGCGAAACATTCAGAAACGTTCCTCGCCATTTAGCCTTATCAACGACAACGAGACACTCGATGCAAAACGGAATTACGATTGAACAGGATCCGCGATCCACACACGACCGAATCGAGCATGAGAATAGAGTAATATATGAGGCAAAAGAGCGGTAGAGTAGAAGTAGAGTAGAGGTAGAGAGGTGCAACGGTTGCGTAGTCGCTCCCGCTCGTCATCCCTCGGATGTAGGTCAGTGGCCTCGCTCAGCTGATCGATTGTGATTCCGTTTTTATCGAGAATCTCTCCGAGAGCTTCGAAAGTTGATTTGAAGTTTCGAAGTTGCGGTTCGGACATTTTCGAATACAATTTTTGTTCGCTTGATGCGGCGAATTGTATGGCATTATTGATCGTTTAGTCTTTAAATCCTCTTTAAGAGATACCTTTCAAAGACATAATCATCAAAAACTTAATATATGTACATCTAATTTACTTTACAAAAGTCTCTAGATCTACATACTTTTTCCATCGACTTGGCAACAGCGCATCTATACCTTTACAACGATCCACAAAAGGTGTTTCGTGAGTTACATTTGGAGATAACGATATCTCGGATATTGTCATTTCGTTATCGTTGACAAAACCCATTCTCGTTTCTGGCCTCTTATTTATCGAGCGGGGAAAA